CCTTCAGAATGATCTCCGCTTACAGCACCGAGTTGGCCGTGGAAAAAATTTCAGCTTGGTGCAGACGGAGATGATGGTGAAGGAATCGGTGGTCAGAATACACCAACGCACCGAGAGAGTGAGAGAGAGACAGAAGGAGAGAGAGAGAGAGAGAGAGTGAGTGAGGGAGGGGGAGAGAGTGTGAGTGAGGAAGAGAGAGAGAGAGTTAAAAAGAAAGAGAGATAGTAACAGTAACAGAGGAGGAACATAACTAAAATGAATGATTTGCCGTCTGCATATTGAGGCCATAAACACGGGGGCGGTCCAAGATCGGGGCGTTGAATATTCAAGGATCAAATATCAATACATTGTCTGACGTTAAGAGGAGGAAGGGGGAGGGAAAGAAGAAATTAGATGCCACAGGAAGCAAGCAGAAGGTCAGTGCCATCTAAATGGGAAAATACGGTTTGAAAGAGGAAGGAGGTAGGCGGGAGTGTCGGAATCAGGGATGTCCGAGTCACGTGTTTGAGACTGGAGTGAATATTTGTTAGGGTAAACCAGAGATTCCCAAAGTGGTCTATATCGACTCAAAGGGGTCGACGACAAAAAAAAAATAAAAAAATTGGGGGTCCATGAAATGAAAATGGGGGTCAACGATAGTGGATCTCATGCAAGAAGATGGTGACTTCTATTTTGGCATACCATGAATGGAATAATCCACATACACAGATGGTACCTATTTATTTACATAATATAACCTTATAAGATAAAACATATATCTTCCCACATAAATTATAAAAGTACCTATGAAGGAACAAATTTAATAACAATTTAATTTTTAAGTAATAAATTATGTATAAAACTTAACATGTATTTTTAAAAAAGTTTTTCACACTACACTTCCCTACAGTTATAAATTGAAATCTTTCAAAGTGAGTAGCACTATACCGGCTGTCAAAAATACATTTGAAGTTAATGGATTTGCAAGAAAGTCAATATCGGGTAAGCAAGGGGGGGTCTACCCAAACCCGAAAAAACGTGTCACGTGGTCTCCAAGACAAAAAAGTTTGGGAACCTCTGGGGTAAACGCTTTAACGAAACAAAAAAAAAAGGAGATATTTTAGTCATGTTCAAATATTTTGCCATTGACTGGATAAATACGACTTCATCGCACCATGTCAAATTTCATTTGTAAATCTAGAACGGATAAGTAGTTTTTGTGACATGTAGATGGAAAAAAGATCTGTGGAGTCGAAAGTCATTCTTCCCCAATCGACAGCTCCGTGATACGCGTGGTCAGTGTGGTCCGAGTGGTCAGTGTGGTCCGAGTGGTCAGTGTGGTCCGCGTGGTCAGTGTTGTACGTAGGGTCCGTTCGATCCCCGTGGTCAGTGTGTTCCGTTTGGCCCGTGTGTTACTTGTGGTAAGTGCGGTTCCACATCATCAGTGTGGTCCACGTGGTCATTGTTTTCCTTTTTTTTTTATCAGTGTGGTCCGTACGGCCAGCGTGCTTGGTGTTCTCCTTCGGGCGGTGGTGGGTTGGGGGGGGGGAGGCTCTGCATCAACGGGCCCTTCTTTTCACAGAAGATGATGCCGAACACTTTCATGAGTGAAGTCGATGGTCAGAATATTTCCTTTTTTTTTGTGTTTTTGTTGTTTTTTTTTAAATCTGCAATAAAAAGGATGGATCATAGATCCGGCTCAAAAGCCTCTTCAGTTTTCTTAATGGCCCGTTTGCCATGCCGGACGTCACCCGTTCAATCCTGCTCATCTTCGGGCGACACTCAGGCATTTCACAACACCCAATCCGCCATTTCTCTGGCACCGCATCCAACATGACTTCCGCAAATCTACATAATTCACATCGTCTGGTGAGACATGGAGAGCCTGGACATCCATTAATCCCGCCCTTAACCCCCCCCCACCCCAGGCCCGAGAGTTGTTTTTTTTTGGTTGGGGGGGGGGGACACTGGGCGAGCCTCCTCGCTCAATGTAGGTGCGACATCCCGGTGTGGGTCGTGTGGACTGTGCGGGTGGAGCCCTAGCTGAGAGTAGACATTTTAGATGTCTTAGCCATGCACTAATTTCTTGTAAAAAATTTTAGCATCCACTATCACAAAGACATGTTTCGGATCAGCGCTAATTTCTTACTGCAATATGTTGAGCATCCACACTTAATTATTGTAATATGTTTAGCATCCATACACGTTTCTTGTGTTTATGATACACTCTAATTGTTTGTGACATTTTTAGCACCCGAACACGTTTCATGTAACATCTTTAGCATCCGCACTCTTTTCATGTAACATCTTTAGCATCCGCACACTTTTCATGTAACATCTTTAGCATCCTCACACTTTTCATGTAAATCTTTAGCATCCTCACACTTTTCATGTAACATCTTGAGCATCCTCACACTTTTCATGTAACATCTTTAGCATCCTCACACTTTTCATGTAACATTTTTAGCATCCTCACACTTTTCATGTAACATTTTTAGCATCCTCACACTTTTCATGTAACATTTTTAGCATCCTCACACTTTTCATGTAAATCTTTAGCATCCGCACTCTTTTCATGTAACATCTTGAGCATCCTCACACTTTTCATGTAACATCTTTAGCATCCTCACACTTTTCATGTAACATCTTGAGCATCCTCACACTTTTCATGTAACATCTTGAGCATCCTCACACTTTTCATGTAACATCTTTAGCATCCTCACACTTTTCATGTAAATCTTTAGCATCCTCACACTTTTCATGTAACATCTTGAGCATCCTCACACTTTTCATGTAACATCTTTAGCATCCTCACACTTTTCATGTAACATTTTTAGCATCCTCACACTTTTCATGTAACATCTTTAGCATCCGCACACTTTTCATGTAACATCTTTAGCATCCTCACACTTTTCATGTAACATTTTTAGCATCCTCACACTTTTCATGTAACATCTTTAGCATCCGCACACATTTATTTTCTTTTAAAGCGGAACACTGAATCGAGTCTATAGCTTCCAATACACCGGCATCTCTAATAAACATGACAGCGCTGATGATGTAATGGTTAAGTAATAATGCTTAGATTTTAAAAAGGCCCCTAAGTAATCTCTTGCAGATTGCAATACCTGATGGAAACAAAAGGTCCATAAAAATATCGTCCATTCATTCCGAGCACACGGTTACTATGACGACAATGGCCACTCGCGCTCTCTTCACACGTCCGTGGGACGAAATTCGGCACACACACTTACAATAACTAATTGTCACCACAGTTATTAACATGATTTTTAATTTTTTTTTTTTTTTTTGAAAAATTGTTAATATTAATAAAAAAAAAAACTATTACTAGATTTGAAATGACCTATCTCCTAGATTTTCAAAGAACTGTTATCTGCTTTTGTTACGTAGCATTTTTTTTTAAAAAGGAGAATAACACTGGCTGTCACCACCAGTCTCACCACCAGTCTCACTACCAGTCCCGTTACAAGCCTCACTACCGGTATCACTACCTGTTTCACCACGAGTATCACCACAGATCTCACTACCAGTCCCACCACCAGTCTCACCACCAGTCCCACCACCAGTCCCACCACCAGTCCCAACACCAGTCCCACCACCAGTCCCACCACCAGTCCTACCACCAGTCTCACCATCAGTCTCACCACCATCCTCACCACCAGTCTCACCACCAGTCTCACCACCAGTCTCACCACCAGTCCCACCACCAGTCTCAATACCAGTCCAACCGCAAGTCTCACAACCGGTCTCACTACCAGTCCCCCTACCACGCCTTCCACCGGTCTCACCACCAATCCCACCACCAGTCTCACCATAAGTCTCACCACTAGTCTCACCACCAGTCTCACTATCAGCCCACCACCAGTCTCACCACAAGTCTCACCACCAGTACATCCACAAGTCTCGCCGCCAGTGTCACCCCCCCCCCCAGTCTCAACACCAGTCTCACCAGTGTACATCACAATCACACATTTGACATTAATTTAGTGAAGCAAACAGAGGTAGGATTCTTAGCTCACCGCTGGGTGACAATAACCTTGTCGGTTGACGTTGTTACTTCCTCAGCAGATGGCGAGAAAAACGAAGCATTAGATCGTATTAAGAAAAATAATAATAAAAAAGTGTAGGAGAATCCCATCACATTGGCCAATGGTAAGAGACAAGAACACTTTTATTGATTTGTTTTTTCATAGCTGAATCGATTAATAGGCTTCCAATTCCTTCATAATAAATTATTTATACTTAAGTTTTTTAGAGAAAATTCGCTATCACTGTTAAAATGATAATAAATTAAATATATATATATATATAAATAAAACTATAAGTAATAAATATCAAGGTAAGATTACACGTGTTTACAGGCATTTGAAATACTGTACACAATTATCAAGTTTAGAAGGAAAAAAATCAAATAACGAAAACAAAATCATAACATCAATCTTTTTTAAACGTATAAAAAATCATAGTTATATATATATATATATATTTATATATATATATATTNATATATATATATATATATATATATATATATATATATGTATAAATATATATAAGATTGTGATTGTAGGAAAAAACTGTTACCGGTTTCAAGTCAAAGAAAACATTTCCTTAACATACATGAGTGATTATTTTTAAAAAAGCGGATATATGTAGTCTTAGTTAAAATTTAATAAATGACCTAGAATCTATATGGATATAGCGTAGTATACTAGAGTATTCAGAGATTTGAAATCCTCCTTGTTGTAACGAAATATACACATTTCATGTCTGACGTCATATCCGGCTTGGCTAACAACGAGCCTCCCCAGCGGGGAGAACGCGATGCACTTGGGCGAGGTCAGGCCGTCCTTGGAGGTGATCACCTCCCAGAGCCGGCCGTTCTTAGTCAGCATGTACACGCCGGCGTTGCACACCACCAGCGTGTTGTCGTCACTGTCCGTGCACACCCCGTACAGCGACACGAAGCTGTCCGGGGGCAGCCGGAAGTCCATGGAAGAAAAACACCGTAGCAGCCGCCCTTGGAAGTGGAAGATTTTCACGCAGCCGTTGCCCGTGTCCGACACGATGATCTGCTTGGAAGAGTTGGTGGTCACGCAGTACGGGTGGTCGAATTCCCGAGGCCCGTCGCCGTAGCTCCCGAACGCGTGGCTGACGTCGCCGGCCGGCGTCAGCACTGTCACGCAGTGCCGGCAGATGTCCGTCACGATGATGTCGTCGTCGCGCGTGACGGCCACCCCGTGCGGGAACTCGATCTCAGTGTTTTGGACGATGCTCTTCCGGAGCTGGCCCTCGGGGCTGAAGATCTTCACGGCCGCGTTGACGCTGTCGGTGACGACGATGCTGTCGGCCGACGTCACGGCGACCCCGATGGGGTAGCACAGCTGGTCGGGTTTGGAACCCTTTTCGCCGAACTTCGACTTGAAGTTGCCGTCTGGGCTGAAAATCTGAACCCTGTGGTTCTCTGTGTCGGCGATCACCAAGTCTCCTGAAGAAAACACAAAATATTTATTGAGGAAAATATACCGAAGGATATTTCTTTTGTCCCTATATAAAATTAAATTAAATTAAGAGACCATTAATTCCCCCTCACGGTCTCTAAGAAAATGTTAGATTTTCATTGGGACTTAAACGTGTTCATCGTTCATGAAATACAAGATCATTACGTATTACTAGTTATAGCTCGCCAAACATTGGCGACAGCAATGCGTGAAATTTAAGAATGCAAATCTTTGGTACACCCCCTCCCCCATCCACATGGTACGTCACTGCACGCTTTTTATTTCAAGCCCATGAAATATTAATAATCTGATGTCCCAACCACTTTCAAACCGAATGTATATCACACTATATTTAAATAGAGACAATTTTCATTTTCCACAAAATACAAAGCTTATCTGAGATGCTCAGATTACGAAAATAATCTCAGTTCCAAATACGCTGAATATGACGCGGCCGGAAATGGGAGGAGTCACATCACAATATATATATATATATATATATATATATATATATATATATATATATATATATATTAGAGATATATAGCTAAGGCCGTATTGGAACTTTTTTTATATTTTTATCTAAAATCTTTAAGAGGTCATTGAACGAGAGTATCTACAGACTCACCTGACTTGGTGGTGGTCACTCCACAAGGCATGTCGAACTGACCACGGTTTCGACCCTTCCTTCCGACTTTTCGAATCAGCTTGCCTTGCTCGAGCTCCGCCTTGACCGCGGTCGTGTCAGATCGCGTCAGGCGTTTTAGGAAATACATGACGTCATCGGCGTGTGCGGTGTTTCAACTCGGTGAAATGACGTCATCGGATCACGTGTGGTTTCGTCGGTTGTGAAGAAGCCGTTTGATCTGTGACGTTGCCATGCTGTTTGAAATCAGTGTTAAATCTTTTAGGGTTGTTTCTGTTTATTTTGTCAGGTAATATCCTCGAAGCCCCAAATGCTTTCAGCCTAGTTGACACAGAAGCGATACCTTGACTTCAGAGTAACGTTTCATCAATACCAGCTCTGTGAAAAAAAAAATAATAAATAAATACAGTGACTTGTTACATGGGTCAAAGTTCATGAAGGATAACTCCACCGGGTTGAGGTTACTGTTCTTTTCGTAGCCGAGCCGGCCAAACTAAGTACCCTTACCCCTGGGGAGAAGAAGGGGGTGAGAATGAAGTGTCTGTATGAACGGCGCGAATACATAAAATCGATTACGAAAAGGAAATTCGCGACAACAGGCTAGCCTCTTCATTATAAAAGCCAGAAGGATAAATAAGGGGAGTTCGAGGGCAGATGTCTTTTGCGTGGGCAATCATGTATGTTGAATGATAGATCCTGTTGTCACACCCTTTCCCAAAATTATCTCCTTAGAATAGCAAAGGAGCATGCAAAAATTATTTTATCATAAAGTAATTAACATAATTTTCTATATTAATATGTCATTTTTCGTTGAATGAAAAAGCAAAGATGAAAACTGATGAACTTATAACCGGTGAACTTATGACAGATGAACTTATGACAGATGAACTTATGACAGATGAACTTACAACATATGAAATTTGACAGTTGCACTTATGACAGATGAACTTATTACGGAGGAACTGGTGACAGGTGACATTATGACAGATCGATCTACTTCACAGTTTTGAGATGCTCCGAATATTTTCAATGGGAATACAGACGTATGAAGCGCTCGAGTCGGTATGGGTGTGGGGGTTGGGGGGTGTGAAGGGGGAGGGGAGGGGGAAAATAGTCAGATTCAGGAGAGAAGGAGAGGGCAGTGGAAAACATGTTTGCTCAGATGATGAAAAGCTGTTGATTGGGACAATGATGTCCAACAAGTTTACCTATAGGACAGCCAACGATATAAAAGTTGAGGAGAAACTCTTTTAGAACCCTTTACATCAGGCCTGCACAACTCAAAATGCTAGGCAGGCCGTAATACTTTATAAAAAGCTTGTGCGGGCCAAAGATGATAGGACAGGGGGAAAGCTACTAAGAAAATAATAATAACAAAGAATTTTTCGTTACTTCACGGGCCGCCAAGTGGGTGATGGCGGGCCACATGCGGCCCGCGGGCCGTATGTTGTGCATGCCTGCTTTATACAATGAACTACTGTAGCGGCTCTTAAGATTCACACCATGACCTCAACTAAAGTTAGATATACATGTATTTCGTTTTGCGAATGCATTAAAAATAATAGCTCAGCTGACCACCTGGGATCCGACCCCCTCGAACAGCAGGTTGAGAACCGCTTAATAACCTTGTGTGTTGCAATAATGGTCAATTATACACTCTGTAGAGTGGTACTGTGTGCCAACGGTTATTTCCTTCGTCTTATGACGTCACCAATACGGTTCGGGGTTTTCAGTAACCATTACGAAGTCCGCATGTTCTGCTGGCTTCGGCGAGCTCTAAGATCATAGTTTGGCGAGAAGATGGCTGCCGGCGTATCGACGGATAATAATGTAGTCGATTTTCTTTTTCAGTAGAGTGACCCACGACTAGACGTCGGGTACATTAGTCAAATCAAATATCATATTTATTCCGAAAGTGATGGAAATGTATTTGATGGGGGGAGGGGGCAGAGGGGGGGGAGGCGGCTGGGGTTGGGGCTGAATAAGCCCATGTTCTTATATTTGAACTTTGACCCGTACTCCTGTTACATTTTGCTCATAAGACGTGTTCTCAATGGTACAACGAACAACAATCCACAAAAGCTCGAGAAGTGCTTCCCCTTGGGTTGGTACAATGCTCTATATAGGGATCGTTTGCAAATTACGTCCCACTCAGGGGGGGATCGAGAATTTGTGACACTTTGGGACAGGGGGAATGGAGGGGGGGAGGGAAAGGGGGGGGGTTAAATATTTGTGACGTCACAAAAAGATTAAATCTAAAATACTATAATTTTGAAAAAGCTTCATTCAATTAATTTTAAAAGCATTTTTTTTAAGATCGAAACTAACTCAGGTATTTCCAGGTACCGTGAAACCCAGTCACGCACACCTTCTGCGCATATCGAAAAATGACGCAAAAACTGTTGTGGCTATTTTACGTTCGGCTTGGTGGATGATTTCATTGGTTTGCGTTTTACGTCAAAGCTTTCTAATTATACATCATCTTAATCCATTTTGGGAAAATGCTCAAGAATAAAATAAATACGTAGCTCAGTTATGAAAATTGTATGTATATTTTGAATTGTTGTAGGTGTGATGTGACACTAAAGGGGGGGGGTTAAAGAATTTGTGACACTTTGTGACGGGGGGGGGGGTCTGAAAAGGTCTTTTTTTGCGTGACGTTATTTGTGAACGACCCCATATGTTATACATTATTTTTTTTTGGTTAAGCTTTGCAATGACTCATCAAATGTTGTAGTACCTCAGCCTCTTCTGAACTATGCTCTCGACATACTCTGTAACTATTCGATTTCCCTATCCGCTCTGTTACTGTACAATGTACTTACCTACTCTGTAACCATACGATGTCTCTACCTACTCTTTAACTATGCCTTGCCCTCTATCTACTCTCTAAATATGCCATGCCCTCTACCTACTCTCTAACTATGCCATGACCTCTACCTACTTTCTAACTATGCCGTGACCCCTACCTACTCTGTAACCATACGATGCCTCACCCTACTCTCTAAATATGCGATGTCCCTACCCACTATGTTACTATACAATGTCTTTACCTACTATGTAACTATACGAATACCTCGCCCTACTCTGTACGATGCCTCTCGCTCCTGGAAAAACCAGCAATCTGTTGTAATCGATTTCATGGATAATTCAGTACTCGCTGACACCCGGGCCTGCTCCGTGGAAGATAAATCTATTTTAAGATAGGGTTATACACGAGTCACCGAGCCCCTATTTAGCAGATCACGCAAAATCTCCTTCTGCGGGATCTCGGCACGTGCGCGGTGAGTGGACATCGGCGTTAACCACTGGATGGCTTTCAGTGGGTGACAAAGATGGAGTCAAGCAATCCACCGCGGTCATATCTAGGGCTGGACAAACCATCGGTCAATTCTGGAGAGCTACTCTTAGAGTCAAGGAATGGGGAAATCGGTTAAGGCGGGGGTGTGTGAGGGGAGAAAGCTGGGGGACGCTTATGTGTGGTATAAGATGGAGACGGAAAGAAAGAGAGAGAGAGATAGAAAGGAAGAAAGAGAGAAAGCGAGGGACAGAGATGGGGGAGAGAGTATGAGAAGCAAATCGGATTTTAGATGTTAGAGAGTTAGAGATCAGCGTGTAAATAGATTTGTGAGAGTGGTAAGAGAGAGAGAAAGGGAGAATGAGAAAGAAAGAGAGAGAAAGAGAGAGGGAAAGAGAGAGAGAAATAAAGAAAGAAAGAACGAGAGAGAGAGAGCGAGAGAGAGAAGTGAAAAGTAGTTTAAAATGAAGTGAAAAATGGAGTGTGATAGGTGAGAGTGAAGAGCAAGAAAGAACAGGAGCATCATGCAGAGGGTTGTGTTGTGACAGAGTCATTAGGTAGGAGCGTGTGTTCGAGTTATGTGTGGGGGGTGGGAGGGAAAGGTACTCCAGTTGATCTCTCTCGCCAATATGATCAATTATTAGGTTACAATCATTATAAATCATACGCTTCTCACACCATTCAATCATCTGTACCCCGTAATGCACGGGTGTCACGGTGGTTATTTGCGGTCAGCTTGTAAGTCTGGCTGATTATCAAAACCTCTTAGCATTGTGAGGAATATATTTTGAGAAGCGCTGATGAAAAAAATAAAAGGAAAATCAATGGCATAATGATCCTGGAAAAGGTCGTTGACTCGATATTGATTCATCAATGTGGGAACATGTCTGTTAAATATTCCCCGACAGATGGTTCCGCCATTTAAGGACAACATTTCACAGATCATGTCCCTATCGTAGTAATGCGATGGTGTTTGTCTGAAATGGCAATGTGTCGGTATTATGGAGGATGTTGTGAAATGCTGTTGTTTTTTTAATGTGTTTC